GCCGCCCGCGGGCTCTGGGCCCCGGTGGCCACCGGCCGCCCAGGACCTGTGCAGCCCGGCCCCTACCTAAGGCTGGGCCACCCCCGGTGCCGACCTCGGGCGCCGACCCGAACCCTGCTGCCCAAGAGAGTCCCACCAGGCCAGCCCTGAGCCCCGCAGAATTCCGGGCTCTGCCTCCTGCCCCGGTCCCCGGTGCTAGAGTCTTCACCAACTTCTGTTCGAGAACTCCACTCCTTCTTTTGGTCCAGGGCGACCTCGGCAGCCCTGACCGCACAGCCCCTCCAGAGTGCCCAGAAAGGCCCTGGGGTGCCCCGCCGCCTTCCCGGCTCTTTCTGGATGGAGGCGCCTCAGGAAGGAGCCGGCAGAATGCTTTGGCCTTCACCTTGCAGCCTCTGCTGACCACACCTCCCCTAGTGCAGAGGCTGCCCAGGAGCAGGAAATGCTGTACCAGGTGAGGCCCAGTGGGCAGCCAGCGCTGAGCAGACCTGAACACTTCTCCTAGGAGGGTTCGGACAGGGTTCCCAGAGGCCTCTGGAGTCAGCCTGTTTGGGAGAAAGGGGCGGGCTAGATGTGGCGCCACCTCTGTGGGGACCAGGAGCGCCTGGGCCGCTACCCTGGGTTATAGTGCTCTGACACATGCCTTGCCAGGGAGCTGAGGTGGCACCTGCCACTTGTGGCCTGCTGGTGGTCTCGGCAGGCTGGGTGGGCCCCAGAACAGTCTGGGAACCTGGAGGTAAACCATTGGCAGTGCTTTCTAGTGGCAGGGGAGGGTTTCCACCGGCTGTCTCAGCGGGAAACAGCTCTGGGGCTGCTGCATACCCTGGCACCGGCTGATGAAGAGCCCTGTGAGAAGCCAGGAGAAGCAGTGTCCTACCTGGGTGCAGGAGCAGGGTCTAGGAACTACTGCAGCCCCCCTAGCCCTAAGTTTCTCAGCTGCTTCCTCCCCTTTCCCCACTGTGGCCTGCAGTGTCTAGCATTGGCAGTAGAAGTAGAGCTGCCCACTCTGGGGTAGCCTGAAGCAGAGGTGGAGAGGTCTTTGGGGATTGGTGCCGCCTGGCTGGACGCTCACAGCACTTCTGCCCATCTGACTGAACAGCTTCCTTCCTTCCTCTCAGCACAGCCGGCTCACCCGGATCCCGGTGTGACCGCCAGGATGGAGCTGGGGCCGGCGACCGAGACTTTTGTGCTGAAGCTGCGATGTCTTGAGGATGGGGGTCCAGGGCCTGACACCCTCTCAGGTGAGGGGCTCTGGTGGGGGTTGACTTCTGAGGCCCTGAGTAAGGATTTTTCAACAAAGCCCCAGACTCAAGGGAGGTGGGCAGCTTGCTTTCTGGAAGTGGAGGACAGCCCATACCCCCACACACCAGCCAACTTCTGCTGGCTGAGTTACGTTGGCAGATTGGCCTTGAGATTTTCTGAGGAATCTGTCAGGCCAAGGTCTTGCTGGGAGGGGTTCCCCAGCAGTACCCACAGTCAGCCCCTGATACCCACATGTGTGCTGGCTGGAATGTGCTTTGTTTCCCTGGTAGGCAGGAGGCCTGTGTTGTCTTCCCACCTGCCCTCACTCTGACTCAGGTTCCCAGATGGAATTAATGGCCTAAAGGCCCTTTCCCTCTGCCTCTCATGCCTCAGACACTGGCTCCATGACTTTTCTCCTGTGAACTCTAACCTTGTCCACTTTTCTCAGCCTCTGGTTCCATAGTTTTTTTTCTGTGATGCCCAGAGGTAGTGTGGTCCTGCAGAACCTTCCAAGACCTGTCCCTCTGGGACTGACTCTGAGCAAACCTTCTATGATGGTCATTCACAAGAGCCAGTTTCTCATTCTGTGCTTGAGAATGCTGAGTGAGGGGTTGGGGCACGATTGAGCAGAGTTTGAAAAGGACCAAGGAAATAGAAGGGGCCGGATAAGAATGTGTTGGCTAAACGAGGACTCTTCTGATTGCAAACTTAACTGACAGAACTCTTGCAAGGTTATATACACCAGATAGCAAAAAAATACACTTACTAAAGGGCTGTAGTGAAAAATGCTGAAATTGCGCCTCAGGAAGTCAGAGTGGCCATGTTACCAAGCACTGTGCTAGAAATAAGGAGTCACATAGAGGTGTCATCAGTCCCTCTTGATCTCAGAGGAATTGGAAGAAAGGAGTGTCTATAAGACACTGGATTTGCTGGGGGACAGCTTTTCATGGCTGTCCTCATCCACCAGTTGCATACTCCCAACTGGGGTATCTATGAAAAACTCACTCACTGGGCCAGCCTGTGGACTGGTGATTAAAGTGGATCCCACATGGACAACTGTGCAGTTTGAGTCCCAGACCAGGCGATTTGAAAAATATACCAGGCAAGTGTGCGTGCATGCCCAAAATCCTGACAGAAGGAGAGTTGGAGGAGAAGGGATTGCAGCATGACCGTGCCCCATAGAAGGTACTTTCTTGCTCTTCCTCTCAGTCTGTGGCAAGCATACACACCCTATGGCAAATTAAAAAGAAGGAAGAAAGAAAGGAAGGAAGGAAGACAGGGAAGGAGGGAGGAAGGGAGGAAAGAAGGAAAGGAAGGAAAGACTGTCTCATTGATCCATTAGCCTAAGCAAAGGTTATTAAGAATATCTCTTAGGGGACTAGCAGATGGCATAATGGTTACATTGCTGGATTCCCACAATATTAACTGCGGTTTGAGTCTTGGACCTGGTGGCTTGAAACTCACTCTGGGCGTGTGTGCATGTGTGCCCAAGATCCCAAGAGGACAATGAAGGAGAAGGGATTTCAGTGTGGCCATCTCCCTGGGGGGTGATTTCTTACTCTCTGTCTCTTTCTGTCTCTCTGGTGACCACATTTGCCCTATAGCAAAAAAATCTCTCCCTAAAAAAAGAATATCTCTTAGAAAAGAAACATATACATATAGGTATCTTTTTTTTTTTAATCAACACATTCCTGGAGAAATGGCCAGAAAGCAAAATTTTGTAAATAGAACCATTGTTTTTTTTATTATGAAATTGACAATATTGATGCTAGAAGAACAGGTGTTGAAATCAGACTTGGGAGTGGAAAAAGCCTCCTAGGATCACACATTTAAAGAAGTGGGATGTGCTGATACACAATAGTAATACTCTAAATGAGAAACTGCATGTGGATATTGTGCAGAGAGGGAAATGTAGCAATGGCGTGGTGACTACTGTTGGTGCAGATCAGTGCCTCATGCAACACCAGGGCTCTACATGTGTCCTCTCTGATTCTCACCAAGTCCCTGAAAAGGATTCATCTCCTTTTGCAGAAGTGGAAACCCAAGTTCCCAGAAGTTAAGTAACTGACTAGTCATTGTGTGGACTTGATGTTGTGAGCTAATACTTCTCATTCCTAAATGACAGCCTAAAACATTTTCCAGTCTTTTGGCTATTTCAGTTTGGAGCTAGTTGTATCTGCCATATATCCAAACCATTTGTTACTTTGCAAAATAATTCCCAACATACAGGAAGAAGGAATGTTCAAGAACCTACTAACTTCTAAGGAAGGTGCCAAGACCCCTCTTCTTTTACCCATTAACCTAATGCTGTGGGTATGATTAAGCTATTAATATTTTATAGATGCAGCTGTGAGCCTGCAAAAGGTTAGATACCTCCTAACTGTACAGTTCGGTTCTGGACTGAAGACTTCCCATGTGAAATCTAGTGGTCTCTCTGACACTTTGGTGATCTTCAGAAACTATTATACTTGTGCTGACACTTCCAGGCTGCTTTACAGAATTTATTATTTATGGAGAAGTTTTGTTTATTTAAGGTCTGATCATAACTGAGGTCAGAGTTCAGCATGGAATTAATTGATGGCTTGGCCACTGGAATGGTCAATTTAGTAATTTCCACTGGATGATGATTAAACACAAGATACTTCTCAGGGTATGGGGTCAGAGAGCTCCAGGCACCTGTGCTGGTATCAGTGCCAAGATCTAAGTCTGGAGTTTGTGAATCGGGTCCCAGAGGTTAGCAAGTTGGGGTCCAGAGTAAAGTGACCAGAAGTCCCTTGCACACAGTTCTAAACCTTCCCCCTAACCCAAGAATTTCCATTTCTACCATGCTGCCATTTCACTTGATCTGTCTCCTTCAGTCCCTGCTCAGAGCTGGTTAGTATATTCTTCAAAGGCTGGGTAGGATAAGAAGGCGGGTCCTGGGGTCTGAAACAGAGAGCTGGCTATAGATCTTTCTTTCCTGGCTTCCTGCCATTTCCACTACAGGTGGCAACGGTGGGAGCGAGAGTCAGGAGGAAGAAGAGACTCAGGAGGGGAACAGTAGCCCACAACGGCCAGCAGTCTCAGCTTCATTAGGGGCCAGTGAAATCACTAATGAAGCCCCACTGGGACAACAGGAGTTGCGACTACCACATTTAGAACAGCAGCTAGAGCTACAACAACAGCAACCACAAAATCAACTATTCGGACATAGGCCAGAATTGCAACAGCAGCAGCAGCAGCAGCAGCAGCAAGATAGGCAACAGCAGGTATCTCAACTGCAGCAGGAGCTACAGGAAAAACACCACCAAGAACTAAAACCACAAGTACAGCTAATGCAGCAGTTACAGGAACAGCAAACACAGGAACAACAGCCGTTGCAGCGGCAGGAACAGTTTCAGCAGCAGCAAGTGCAAAAGCAACAGCTGTTGGTGCAGCAGCAGGAACAATTACAACAGCAGCAAGTACAGCCATTGTTGGAGCAACAGCAGGAAGAGTTACAGCAGCAACAAGTGCAAGAGCAACAGCTATTGCAGCAGCATCAAGGACAGTTACAGCAGCAGCAAGTGCAACCACTGTTGCAGCTGCAGCGGCAAGAACAGCTACAACAGCAGCAACTGTTAAA